ACTCTATTGGAAACAGAGAGACACCCAAAACAGCTGAGATAAACGAATGTAGAAAACTCTATGAGATGCTGAGAGAGAAAAACAGTGGTCCTACAGTGAATTCCTGGTCACTGTGGCATTAAAGGCAATGAGATTGCTGACACACTTGCTAAGAAGGGGACAACGATTTTGCAATGCATGGACCGGCTGATGTCTTTCCACACAATGAAGGCCTTAATCAGAAGAGAATTCAATACCTCAAAGTGCAACGAACTTAAAGCTCGAACAAAGGAGAAACAGTGGACAGTGTCACTCTCCGACATAGCAGACTGGCCAAGAATCGAAGCTGTTGCTGAGTTTAGACTACGTACCGGACACGATTGCTTGGCAAACCACCTTCACAGATTGGGGGTATACACTCAACCCACATGCCCTCTATGTAACCTACATGAGGAAATGGAGAAGACCCACCCTATTCGGTGTCTAGCCCTAAATGCAACGACGGAAAGCCGGAGATACTGGGAAGCAAGAAGACAGCTAATGAATTGCTATTAATAAACTGCTATAAATGTACCCCCCCCACCCTTGGGGGAAGCTGAAGTCAAAATTTAAGGGCTAGTGATAAATATCACAAAGCCTGCCATTTAAAATAAATAAATAAATTATTCTTAATTAGTACTCTTCGCGAAAAAGTAACACTGCTCTTTGTGTTTTTTATGCAGCGAAAATGAATGGGAGAATCAAACAGTGTTACTATTTTTTAATTTATATTTGAATAAAAACCCAAATTTAAATATGAATCCATTCTTTAAGCAACATCGTCGGATTTGGTTTACATGGTAATCATCAAATTCAAATGATAAAGTGTTGAGGAAAATTTAGCTTAATTGAGATCAAATAGGGACTGTCAAAAAGAACATCTACATGGACCATTTATTCAATTTAAATCGAATATAATATAAAATTCGTTTTTAATCTAAAACAATAATCAAACTATATTTGCCAAAAGAAAAATTAAAAATGGAAATGCTTCACTACTCTAATGAGATTGAATCTTTAAGAACAGTCGCTCATGATCCGATCAGTAGAATGCTCAAATCGATAGTTGTTGCTGAAAACATTTAAGGAAATCCAAAATACGAGGAAAATGCTACTGATATTAAAGAAGCATTACACTAAATTGGTACTAACAAACATTTATTGACGAATACGATTTTATTCGAAATTGTGCTGCTGTGGGGCACCTGTGGGTGCAGTTGATTCTCAAATTTTATTAATTTTATTTTATATTTTCCCTAAATTTGGAACTAATTTTAATGTTCTTTTTCCTGTGCTTTTCCATTCAACTGATATTCACTTTGCTCAGCCTTAATTTATTAAAACTCAAAAAGATTGAATTTTTAAAATTAGAGCAATGATCAGATTAATATATCGAACGAAATGTCCGTTTCAGAATTAAAAAGTGCCTTAGCCCTCAAAGTATGCCTAAGAAGAGAACTTTACCAAATAGCATTCGAAGGCGCATTCTCAGACGACGCTTGCGTAGAAGAGCATTTGGAAGGCGTGAAAAATCAAAAATTGTCAGAAAAAGGGATTTTGGAGTACAAACGGAACTTTCTTTACTCTCGTTGGAATCGTCTCTTCAAACTCCAGCCAGTGAAATTGCTCAGGTTTTAGAAATAAGTGAAATCACACGATTGAATGCAAAACCAACAGAGTCAAATTGCCTCCATTCTATTCCCCAGCTTGCTTCCTCCACCAAAGAATTGGCTGAAAATGGGAAATGGACAAGACAGAACAATAATGAAGAAATCTTTGAAAAAAGTCGTCATAGGTTGGATTCAAAACTTGGAAATTTCACTAACGGTAAACCTAAGGTAGCAATTCTGGGTGAAACTACTCATACGGGTGATGCACTGACTCAGGAAGAGAAGGTGCTTGAGACACCACAAAAAACATTCACTTGGAGTAGAAAAGAGACCATTTTTAATACTCAAAGAAGTGAAGATTTTTGTGATTCCGCATATTCTTCATGCAACCGAGCTAATGCAAAGCCTTTAGAAACATCTTTATCTCCAACGAAAGCACATATTTGCAGAACGCCCATTGCTACCAACCTTACAACACCTTCCTATATGGCTCCTACCATTGCCAGTGTAAGGAAGATAAGTACTTCAATTTCAAGAAATTACAATTTGGAAATGAATACAAGACAACTTGCCCAACACAAACATTCCGCCCCAAAAACAACCTCACGCCGAAGTTTAAGTCTTGATGGTAAGACTGGATTCCTATACTTAATGTTGAAAGGAAGAAGGGGGGAGTAATTTTAATTCATTTTATGCTTTAGACATTTCGATTTTAAAGGCCAATCAAGAATATGACAATCCTACGGGCTCCAAATAACCGTCGTCTCTTTCAAATTTCGTTTCGACAGTTAAATGCGTACGATCCAAGAGGATTCGAATAATTTCTGTTCAATTTTATCATCGACATCAATTTTAATTGACTTTTTCGCCTTCCTCACCACATTGTTTACATTTAATCGACCTTTCAATTTCTTTCTGTTTTCAACTTTTATCACAAAACGACCGCTATGGGTGGCACATTATATAAGAATGCACCTAGACCAATGCTAAATTGTAAAGAATGTACCTCTTTTATAGCTTAAAAATCAGGCATTTGGCCTAGTGTGCAGGCTGATTTGAACAAAATAAAGAGTTTCAGGTGACTTTGGTGAATGTGTTTTGGTTCTGACAACTGATTTTAGATTATAGATTGTGCAATATATTCGTATTTTTTGACGTTCGTGGCCTAATACTTTGATGTTTCAGTGTAAGAATGCCTAAATTTTCTTTCATTTACCCTTTTGATATCTCACTTGCATTGTTAGTAGCTTATCTAAATCAATTCTCTTTCGAACGAGAATTCTTCCAACATTAACGTAGGTTGGTATAAAGATAAAGCTGGATAAAAGCTTTCAGTGGACAGAGATCACAGTGCGCTGCCACAAGGTGCCGAAATCGATTTGCCCAATTGAGCGCATACGTGAGGCCACAGACCAAAATAACACGTCCACACTTTTCACTTCGTCAAAGTCATAACTCAATACCTATTTGGGACTTATCAGCAAGTTTAATTTCTACTTCTTGATCACCATCACCGCTACTGCAATCGTGCAGGAGGATAGATATTGCTGTCTTGTATTACGTTTGTTCCCGGTATCCAAGACGTGTCTACTACGGATCTCTGCGTGTATACTTCCGCTTAATGCAATGCAGTACCAAAGCTGAAGAATGATTTCTTATGCTCTTTTATACAGGCTCACAAGAGCTATCCTGCACTAGGGCATTTTGCCATGAAGATGACTGGAGATAATTCGGAGAGTATTCCTGTAACAAATCACAAAATCTACTTGCACATATGTGGGATGGTGGAAGAGGGGAGAGGCTCCGTATTACTTTAATTAATAGCATCATTCACTTTTCTCAAGGCACATTTTTTGAAATGATTGCATATTTACATTTATATGAGCATTTCTGTTTTTGCCAACTGGTAATAAATGCGTGGGACACACCAGGATGTGGGGTGTGGGGCTACACATAAAGAGCATTGCTGATATATTTAATTATTAATATTCACTCTAATTCTGTAAAATTTATTTGACAACTAAACGCTTTGACCTCTTTCATATTTTATAGTAAAACAGTTCTATGGAAAGCATCACTTTCCTCCCTTAATTTTCTGTAGCTTAGTTAGGTCAGACGTAGGAGATTCTGCCACAGAGGGATTTCTGAGTCGGTCAAGGCTTTGCTAGTGTAGTAGTCCGCTACAAAGGTCTATTGAATATGAAATGGTTCACGATAAGTATACCGACTACTGTTCAGAAAACATTAAAATTGAGTATTCTAAGAGCCATCTAGTAATTTCAATAAATAAATAGTTGATTTCAAAATATACGGCGCAGAATCGATGATGTCAAACTTGGTGAGTGTAATTCCTACGCATTCTTCATTAAGTGTGCGTGGATTAATGAAGTTGCCGCATAGAAATAATGTGTGCAAGTGGTGCTGTTGCCTCATGCATGCGCCTTATTGAGCATATAAACTGTGGCAGTCATTATATTCGAAAGCATAATTACGCAGGTAGATGTGAGTGATAAAAACTTGAATAATTTAAGTAATTCATAAAATAAATGAATGAATGTGGCTCAAATTCCCAACTCATTTCACCTAGAGAACAAATCCAGGTGTGGCAATTCCGATGGGTAAACAAGCAAGAACTGCCGAGTGTAAATTTTAATAATAAATCCTTCACCTTTGACTGTTTACACCAAAACGCATCACTACGAAATGGATCTGGTGTGAGGCAAGTAGTAGAATGCTAAACTAGTAAAGCCTGACTGAATTAGGAATCTCAGTGTGAGTGCGGTTGATTCACGAATGCTATTTAACTTACTCTATATATTCTGTAATTTATCAAGTTATAATTTTATTTGCGATTGGTTTTAAAGTTAATTTTACAGCGCCAACCGGTTTAACTGCCACTCACCTTGTACACTCTTAATTTGGTTGAACCCCAAAAAGTTTAAATTTCAAAGATTTGAATAATGATCAGATTAGCATTTTGAACTAAGTCCCCGTTTCAGAATAAAAACATACCTTAACAGTCCAAGTATGCATATGAAGTGAGCTTTAGATGACGCAGGTTCAAACAGGGCTTGCGTAGAAAGGCACTGAGAAGGCGTACAAATTCATTAATCGTCAGGAAAAGGGAATCTAGCGGGCAAACCTCATTTTGGAATTTATGAACATAATTATAAAGCTAAAATCAACCTTGAAATGTGAGTCTTTAAAGTTGTTTAATATATTACAAATGGAAATGATCAATACAATCTGAACAGACGAATTGCCGCTGCAGTTATGCAATGTTGTTTCTAATTTTTCTAATTACTACTTTACGTCGGTTCATTTAGCAAACATGTCCCAGTGTTAAATAAAGCTATACAATTTCAATCGTCCACCAGCGAATTGGTCAAGGATTCGAAACGAGAATATTACCATAGCCATTTATAAATCTTTGTGTAAGAGTTGCTTGCTTATACCTAGGATCTGTGTTACTTCTATTTATACCAATATTTTTCAAATGGCAGGCCTTATGATATTAATCGTTAGCCCTTAAACTTTGACTTCAGCTTCACCCATGTGTGAGGGGTACATACATAGCCGTTCATTAGCTGTCTTCTTGATTCCCAGTATCTCTGGATTCCGTCTTTGCCTTTAGGGCTGGACATCGAATTAAGTGGGTCTTCTCCATTTCTTCATGTAGGTTACAAAGGGGGACATGTGCGTTGAGTGTATACTCCCAATCTGTGGAGGTGTTTTGCTAGATTGGGAGTGCGCGATAGACTTACCTCCACGTGGAGCATCTTGGGTAACGTATCTTCATACGGCAAAAAAGTCTATCGCTAGACATTTTGATTTATACTTACACCAATGTTCTTTATTCTCACAGATCATTTGTTGAATTAAGCAAATATTTAAATCTAAGTATCGCCGAGTTTTAACTTGCTGTTGATTTTCTACCATTTTTAGACTAAAGGTGATATTTGTTGCCAAATCAATTCGTAGTGCTTGCTCTCTCATCTTTTGGCATCAGTTACATGGTAATCAGTGGGAGATCAATCGTCATCGGAAAAGGTAAAAGTCCAAGCTGAAATGGCTATTAATGCACAAAGATATTTCTAGCAGTAATTTTATTTTTGATGTAGTTAAATTGCCATATAGGAAGTTGTGGTAAGACTTCTAAGAGTAGAGGGTTTTATTAATGCTGCTACGCCTCGGTTGCTTGAAGTAAATGTTGAATTATATTGGCCTCTACTTACCTGAGTATTGAGAATGATCTATTGTCTATTCCTACTGTAGATCTTTGCAGGATCAGAATTTCATTTACTTCCTGTGCCATTGTTCCTAATTTTGCACGCAGAAAAGTAGCTGCTCCCTAGGTTACAATCATGGGATTACCGTTAGTGACATTTACAAATTTCAATTCCAACTCGTGATGATGTGTTTCCAAAATTCCTCCTTTATTGTCAGTTTCCTGCCCAGTTCATATTTTCGTCCAATTTACTGATGGTGGATTGAGATTGTGTAACTTCCTTTAACCCTGCAAGATCTATGTTTCTGAAAGTATGCTGTTCAGTAGAATAGTGACAATTTGGCCTTGTTGAGCCGTTAGATTCGAAAGATCAAAGAAAATTTGATTATTATCTTCTCAATGTTATTGAAGAAATGGAACTAATTGCTCTCCTCCACTATCCTCTCCATATTGCTTAAACTTCACAAACCACAACTTTTTATTTCATCTGCTGCAATCCTTTGTGTACGTTGATGCCTTTTATCATTTCATATTAAAAAGTATTAAAAAACTGGTAATTTAAGTTTCACGTGTCGCTAACTACGCGATAAAATATTCAAATCACCTAACTGTTTGAAACTAGATGAAATTTGACATTTTGACAGATATAATATTAGCTCTTTGTTTACAAGTGTCATTATGCTTACATTTTGAGGCCAATGCAAAAAACTGACACTAAGGAGAATTTGCAAGTGACAAAGCATATATATTTAATATATACGTGAGTAAGGGCTTTTGATGGGAGATAAGAATTCGATTTTTCGTTTAGTTCACATTTGAGAAGAATTTTCTTTTCTTAGAAGTAAAATTTTGACGTTTCGAAGAAAGTATTTCATTTCCCGGTAAAATGGTTGCACATATAATCGGTGAATTCTTAAATTGAAGATAACTCACCTTTTACGAGGGAATAGGTGAACGAAGTAGTAAAATGCAACATTTATTTGTGCATTTGATTAATAATATATTCAACAAAAGACCACGAAGAACTCAATAGGCTGTACAATTAAATCCCAAACTCCAAAAATTAGCAATTTTGAAAGAGAAATGTGAATCATATTAGGTCCATTTGTGCAAACGCTATGAAAAACTGGGTATGAAAATCGATAGAACAAATTGAATCTCATGTTAGGAAAAGTTACTTGTTAGGATTCAAGAATTATTTGGAACATATGCCGAGAAAAGGCTAAACTCAGCTTGTCTAATCAACGAACATCGACCATGGGGTTAGATGTTTTACCATCAACTTCTCAGAATCTTTAATTATTTCATATAAAAATGCTTATTGCGTGTAGAAAAATATTTTTCAAAATAAATATTGTCAAATTTTGCACATCTTGTTTAAGTTTAACAGCTTTGTTTCACTAAGCCACTCATCAGCATTCAATTAGAAAGTCCCTTAAAGGAATAAGAATGCTTTACGCTATTTTTTAGGAAGTATCCAGATGATTAAGATCAATTGTAGTATTAATGATATTTTAATAGAAAAAATT